ATATTTTAGAATATTGTAATATTTTAGAATATTGTAATATTTTAGAAAAGAAATAGCAAATCTTTAAAATTTGAATACATATGCATGTTGCAAAACACACTTAACCAAAGTTTCACAGCAATTTTAAGAAAAGCCTGGAAGACAAAAGCATTTATCTTGCAATAATTCAGGTGACTTACATGAGGAAGACAGCTGCAGAGATTGGGACACTTTCAAGTATCCTGATATAGAAAACAGGAGACTTCTATTGATGTGCTCCTTTTTATTCAAGCATAAAAAATTCACATACAAATAATCTAGCTGGTGCCCTAATTATTTAGGACATGAAGTTTCAACCAGAGGATAAGAACTGTGAATTTGAAGGAACTAAAATACGTTTCATAGTTCAATATATGAAGAGACTCATAAGGGCTTTGTTACAGTCATTTTACTAAACTCTTTTCTCTTGAATACAGATGAAAAAAGAAGGTTGATGTACTATGTCAGTAAAGCAAAGTGACAGTTTCTTATTTTCTCTTCACTGGAGAGATTTCTTGTTTTTTCCTCCCAACATCACTTAAAAACCTAGTCTTGATTAGTCTTCAGCAGAAAAAAAAAGGACAAGGCCCAGTAGCCTCCAGCATCAGGGAAAAGTTAATAAAAATATACACAATAAAGAGCGCTATTATTGCATTAACAGTTTGTTGCTGAAAGCACAACTGCCTAGATATTCTGTCCTAGGTGATTATCTATATAAAATCATTTGAATGGTAATTCTGTTACCTGCTTATGGCATATGCTTTCTTTATCCCATTCTTTCTCGTCAGCAAATCGAAACTGTGTAAAGGAATCTCCTAAAGAAAAGAAATAAAAAAAATTATTTTTAAAAAATTAACAAGTTTTCTCTGAAGTTTCCAACCTAAAGAAATAAAGTCAATAAATAAATCTGTCTTCAACAAATTTGCGTTTAATATTAATGCTGCTTGCATTCACAATACTAAACTCATTTATGTCAAAGTTCTATAGAAATTTTAATCACTTATTTGCAAAACAGTCCTGAAAAAGGGGCAACAAATTCAAAACTGAATGAGCAGGTGCTAGGTGCCATGTCAACAAGCAAGATTTTCACTCAAAATTCCAATTTGGACAACATACTAAGAATACATACAGTATTCACAGAGTTAATTTCTTATGAACAGCTTTGAAAGTGCTATAGACCTTCTCTTACTGACATGCAAATATTTCTTAAAATGGATTATAATTATTTTATGAAATCGCTTTATACAAGCCAAATAAAGACTTCTTGTTGTCTGGTAGCTAAATTCTCTCTCTTCCTTGAACTAGTCCCTACTCTAGCAAATCATCAAAAAAAAGGCACTGAACCCCACATTCCAATTCATATACAAGAGGGACTGAATTAAAAGAAACCTTTAAATAGGACTAATTAAGTTACACATATAACCTTAGTTACAGGATCTTCTAACCTACAGCATTCCTTCAAGCCATCAGGAACTATAAGGGTTGTTGAATTATCATTTTCTTTTAAATGTGATATTTTTATTGCAGTACCATGCTGTGTTGCAAAAGACAGTTCCAGTCCTATAAATTATTTACTGAGAAAAACATATAAGAATTCCAGTAACTCAAAAAAATCAGTATGGTCTGTGACAGAGGAAACATGAAAGATTCGGGTTGCAAGATGATGGCCAAAGGTCTAGAAAAACAGAAAGCAAAGACACTACTGATGCAGAGTATGGGACATGTGTCATCTTAGACTGTGCAGTTTAAGGACAAATAGCTGTTTCAGGAGCTCTGTTAGAAAAAAACCACGTTGAAATATTATGTGAAAGAGATGAAATTTGATCCTGAGAATTCAGAGGTACTAAGTTGGTCAAGGGTCTCTCTTATGAGGAAAGGTTGAGGTAGCTGGGCCTGTTCAGCCTCAAGAAGATATGACTGAGAGGGACCTCATCAATGTCTATAAGTCTCTGAAGGGAGGACGACAAGAGGATGGAGCCCGGCTCTTCTCGGTGATGCCAAGCAATAGGACAAGAAGCAATGGGCAGAAACTGATGCACAGGAAGCTCCATCTGAATCTGAGAAAGAACTTCTTTCCTGTGTGGGCGACTGAGCACTGGAACAGGTTGCCCAGAGAGGTTGTGGAGTCTCCCTCACTGGAGATATTCAACATGTCCGGATGCAATCTTGTGCTATGTGCTTTGGGATGACACTGCTTGAACAGGGAAGTTGGACCAGATAGCCCACTGTGGTCCCTTCCAACCTTACCCATTCTGTGATCACATGTAAGTCACTATGATTTATTCCAGCAGTTCGTTTAGAAGCAACAGCTTATTCTTTCCTAATCTCTATTACAGAATGCATGTGCTAGAGGAAGTTTTCAATGGCTTTATCAACAAGTGAGCATTTAGCTTCTATTTGGCTCTCAGTATCCTGCCATTCATACCTTTGACAATTCCCGAATCATGCCCTTAATCCTGCAGACAAAATCCAAACATAAAATGTGCTGTCTCCACAACTGGTTTCTTTGCCATTGTCTGCCTGTCCCAGAATGTAGGGAAGCTCAGCCTTTCAGCAATTCACTCAGTAGTGCAAGCATTAGCTAACTCCTGTTTTGTAAACAAAATGAATAAGCAGCAAAATGGCACAGTAATTAGCACAGTTCTTTGCCAAATAATAAGAAAAGGGAGATCTAACCATCTCCCAGCCAGAATTTAAAATTGATTGGCCATGGATTTTTTATTTATTTTTTTTTAGTATCTAAACTACATTTCTAATTTATTGCATTTCATGTCTGGTCACTGGGTATGCAAAAGTACTCATATACTAATCACACTGTCTGACTTGCATGTCCACTACTGTAATCTTCTGAACCATTACAGCAAGAAAGTGACATTCTCAGCTGAATATTTGTAGAGATATTTAAGACCATTACCATGTCCAGCTTGAAGCTGCATTTCTGTGTTTTCATTACTTTTATCCACCATGGTTCAGTTTTGGTTTACATTCAATGTCTACAGCCACTGCTATTTTGAAAACAACCAATGTCAAACAGTACAAGCGCAAATAATGAAAATTAAGCATTGAAATTAACATTTAGATATATAACAAGGTGGCTAATTTTACAAATGTTTAGTTCATACAATGCAAATACCAGGTTCCAAGATGGCTCAGCAGTGTTGAAAAATTAGACCCTGTATCTTTATGTCTCTATCTGCAGATGCAAATACTTAACTTGAGCACTCACAGTCATCTCACTGCTAACAAAGGCACCTTCCTCTTCATTGCACACAGCACAAGAGGAAATAAACCCCCGTTTCAAAATATCTAGAATACTGCTAAAATGTAGTAAGTAATACTGAAAATCAAAGAAATACAAATTCAGTCTCATGATTTTAAAATGTGTACTAGAATGTGCAAATTAATTTATGTTTTAACAGCTCACATTTTAAAGGCTCTATTTAGTTACATATGTGAAGAAGTTCTACTGAAAAATAATTAACAAAATGATCCTCAAAGTCTTCTTACTATTAGAACAAAGGCATAAGTACATTCTTCCAATATCCCCAAGACTGCTTTAATTATTTCTCATGTTGCACCACAGAAGAAATAAGAGTTTTCTCTGCTCTTATAAAGGAGTAAAATTAAAGTAAAGGATTAGTCAAATGCTTTCAGTATCTGAGAATGACCACATATAAAGCAGCTAAACCAACCTACTTCATCAAGAAAATCCACTGGAATCAAGAATTGCTTTATGATTCTCCACACTCACAAAGTTGGTAATCGCAGATCCGCAGTTTGATATTGTATTGCTGAATTAAAGGGTATGACTTAAACTGTAGTTTAATTAGGCTCTTTAAATAAGTTAACAAAGTATGCCTTTCAAATGGAAAAGAATAACTACAATTCAAAATAGCATATTTAATGCAAATTAGGTTAACGAGAATGTTGGTCTAACCAATTATCTTTTCACAAATTCCTTTACCCTGAAAATAACTTCCTTTTATGTCATGAATACTAATCAGATGTCTTGCAATGACTCTGAGTTCCTTTCAGCATAAAAAAAATACTTTTCTTCATGTGAATAATTTTTATGTTACTTACAAGTATCACTCGGCGTTAAAATACAGAGTAGCTAAAAATAATGCACTCAAGTAAACCTCGTGCACTGTCTTTGTTAACAGTCATAAGCCTTAATATTCTTTATTGTTTAAAATATAAAATTACTATGAAAACAGCAGAACTAAACCACCATGCTTTCCTATCTCTTGAATATATTTTGAAGCTAAATCAATTTCTTTAAATAGAATGTATCTTTCTCAGCTTCATTAGTCCAATTATCCTTTAATACAAATATTCATTGAATTGTAGAGTCAAACAGATCCTACCTGTAATCTATAATAAATATTTTTCAATCTGTGAAATTGTAAGTCTAAAAATTGAAAAAATTGAAGAAAAACAGTTTTCAGTAGGAAAAATGACATATCTGTGGAATACTTCTATTCACTTAAAATTCTCTCATTCACATAAAACATTACTGAAGACAGAGGAAAAATACTCCATAGTCCTAGAGATAGAATTTAAAATTGGAGGGGGGAATAACATAATAAGCAATGTAATATGATCCTTCTAAGACTGCCATAATGTCAGGAAGTGCTATAAGTGCAAATATAAGACTCTACGTTCACTTTTTAAATCATAATTTACTTTCTCCTAAATAAGAACCAATGATTTGGATAAATTTGGGGGTTTCCAAGCTTTGTTCATCTCCCATTTATTTTATTTTATGAATTCAAACCTCTGTCTAGAGGTTTGCTTAGTTAACTAATATGCAATAAATTTATGACAACACTATGCAGGTGACCCAAACAAACCAAAGCAGAAAACTACAACTTAGCTACTTTGGGAAATCAACAATGAGACCTAAAATATCTCAAAACGTACCCTCTATCTACTTACTACATTAGTCAAATTTCTTCCTGAGTTACTAAATTAAGAAGATTCTCACCAAATAAAGTCCATCCTTAAATTGATTTTAAGCAACTTCCCTTCCCAAGAGATCTCTTTATCTCTATATTGATCATAAATTCATCATTATTTATGAAGGATGTAATATCAAAATGAGCTATGGGCCTGTTCCACCAGTCTTCGTTATAGATTGCAGAAATGCAGAAGGAAATGTGTTATTTTTAAGGTGAAAAAATGCAAAAATCCTCCAAACTAAGACTTTTCTGCAGTGAAAACCAATCTGAATCGCAGAGTTAAGGCATGAATGATGCTTGAAACATCAGTGCTTCATATAAAAGGGACCAACTCTCTTGAGGAGTCAGAGGTAAGATAAGGAACATATTTTTTTCCTGATAGTGCAAAACTTCATGAAGAAGGTCCAAGAGAAGATAGACATCCATAGACCAAAGAAAAGGTAGGCAACTAGTAAGTCAGTAATTTTGAGCTAATTTACAATAAAAAGAGCAAACTAAAGCTTAGCAGTCCTTTAGGATGAATTAGGTGCAAATGAATATTTCTCAAACTGGAGGAAAAAGCAAAAGGAAGGAATCCTATCCATCCATCCATGCCATGGCCTGCTCTAACACAACGATTTTGAAACCAGCACAGAAACAGCAGGAACTACAGACTGGGTGCTTGGGAATATCATCAGAATAAAAAGATGTCTTTTCATCTTACAGGGTTTCCTCACAGTGTAGTTGCTATACATATTATAGATATACATATACATATATATATACACATATCACAGATATTCATTTTATATCTACAATTAATGCTCATTTTGTATTAAAAAAATTTTTAGTTCGATAAATACTACAGAAGATTT